GAACTAGAACTCAATCTCCACCTAGAAGTAAAAGTATCACAAAGGTGCTAGATTCCTTTCTTTGAATTTTACTAGCCTCAAATTAGTCGTAAAATGTCATTTACCATTATAAATGATAAATAAATAGAGTTAAAGTAGCTTGCAAAAAAGTTAATCTCCTATCGTCTTGCTATCGTGGGCAAGGATCGAGGACGATAAAAACACCACATCCTATCCTATCGTGATGTCAAAATATGATATAGTTAGCGCTTCATGTTAGGGCTTGCCAGGTTTATCACAAAAAAAAAAACAAATCTATCACTATCACATTTTGACAGATGACATGATAATTTTCGGGGTGCCATGTTAGCGCCGGTAGATAAAACGATATAGTGACGTCAAAATCGATATAACGCCGCGATAGCAGTTTATCACGGCGCGCATCTTAGCCCTGCAGGTTAAACAAAGGCCATAAAAACTCCCATTCATCTCAATGAAGCAGGAAGCGTGGACAGCCGACCCTCGGAAAATTGGTGCCTTCCTAAAACTTGCTCATCATTCTATTAACCCACCTGAGGGAACGGCGATGGCCGTTTTGGAACTTTATGTCTGATTGAATTATTAAAGGTCTACAGGACGTCCTGAGGAAAGTTAATCGAATAAAAGAATGAAGAGGACTAAATTTTTACTAAAGGACTTCCTTCAAGAGAAGACTGTGAGCTGACCCTCGGAAAATTGGTGCCTTCCTAAAACTTGCTCATCATTCTATTAACCCACCTGAGGGAACGGCGATGGCCGTTTTGGAACTTTATGTCTGATTGAATTATTAAAGGACTACAGGACGTCCTGAGGAAAGTTAATCGAATAAAAAAAGAAGAGCACTAAACTTTGACTAAAGGAGTCTTCGCGTGCGAAATCACACAAATTCATAAATCGTAAACAATCAATTCCTTAAATTAGTTAATAAAAAAACATAACCCTCCTTAAAAAGTAGGTACTCTCAATGTTTGCATAGCTGGCTTATTATCATGCAATAATTTCTAGTATTTGTTTAATAAATTAGTAAGGTGACGTCAAACGTGGATATTTCTCCAATTAATATTCCAAGGAGAAACAAAACGTATTATAATGGATGTGAAAATCAGCTGGTGGTCTCTATTTTAACGAAAACCCAAATGGTTTTTGAATTTCCTGCAAAACTTGAGAGATTTTAACTTTAATATTCACTTGAGTGAAGGAAAGGAAGCGTTTTGAGTGCAGTTGAAATAATTTGTGATATCACTCAAATACTTAACCTACTATTACAGAATAAGGTTTGCTTGCAATTACGGCTAATAGCCTTAGTTAGATATTATTCCAGGACCAATTTTAATCCCGGTAACTAAAAGTAACCGGGCAGTATAGTATGGCTTTAGCCATGTTGGTTTTTAGTAAAAATGTAAACAAATATTTTGAACCATAAAGTTATCAACGCGTTCCATTACTAAAGTATCTACCGTTTATGTTTTTTACTTTTTATGTAGAGTAAGTACTAAACTACAGTTTTTTATATCGAGTGGGATGTTAAAAATATAAAATGAAATGAAAACCGTTTACAGGCAGGATGAATGAAGGATGCAGAATGCAGATAACAACTAATACTTAGTGTGGGATTATTCATGCATTATTCATTATAGATAAGCTCTAAAATTATAGGATGTTCTACAGGTTCCCTACAAATGTTCCCTACAAGCTTATTTAAAACTAGCTGTGCCCGTGTGAAAACCGTTTTCGCAACATTTTTCATTATTGCTCTGCTCCTATTGATCGTAGCGTGATGTTGTATAGCCTATAGCCTTCCTCGATAAATGGGCTATCTAACACTGAAAGAATTTTTCAAATCGGACCAGTAGTTCCGGAGATTAGCGCGTTTAAGTAAACAAACTCTTCAGCTTTATAATATTAGTATAGATAAAATAAAATATGATAGGGTTTCTTAACCTTTTTGTAGTCATAAACAAAATTCATCGAACGGGAATGCTTATTTGTTACTTGATTTTCCCCTTTGGAAAAGCGACATTGGAAAATAATTATTGTATTTAAAATAATTATAGTAATAATATTCATTTTGTAAAATGAATTTGTAAAAGTATGGTTCAGAATGAATTACTCCATATTTACAAAATTATTTTGCCCAGTTTTTGTGAAAAAAGTGAACAAATCCAAATTAAGGAAAAAGGTAAAGAAATAAAGAAAGAAAAATACCGCAATGCTCTGTGAAAATCACAAACGGCTTGTTAGAATACAAGATTGCGGGTGTGGCCATGAAAACGGCGAGTACTGTGGAATTTTTAATTTATGTTTTTCGGAATTATATTATGACCAGCAGAAGTTACCTACGATAGGAACCCTAATCAATGATTTCAGAGCATCTTGTCTTTTATAATGCAAGCAAACAAAGAGCCGTTCATACTCCGTGCAGAACCGACGACAAAATTGTAAGACTGGTGCGATTGCGGTCAAATACGATCAAAAAAGGATCGATGGAAGAGTTTGAGGAAAACCTTTGCCCAGCAGTGGGAACGGGACTATTCCCACCTCTCGTTCCCACCACTGCAACTCCTGTGTAGCCAGGATCTACAGCTTGACCGCCACAAAAACCCAACCAATGAAGGTCAAGTTTGTCCCAGCAGTGGGAAGGTGATCATGTTATCCACGAAGACGCAGGATGTATAGTGGGTTGATATCCTTGGACATTTAAATATCCTTGGACATTTTTACACTGCGCCGTTAGCCCCAAACTAAGCAAAGCTTGTATTATGGGTACTAGACAACGGATATAAATAAACATACTTAAATACTTTTTTTGTGAATACATACTTAATATACATAGAAAACACCCAGACCCGTCACAGAAACTAAAATTAATCATTTCTGCCCGGCCGGGAATCGAACCCGGGACTCTCGGCATAGTAGTCCGTTCTGAACCACTACACCAAACGGCCGACAAAAAAAAAACAAATAAAAAAGAATATTTGTAAATACAAATCGCTCATCTTATGACCTCTCGTTACGTGCTTCGCGTCATAGAAGAGTTCCGACCCGCACTCCGCGCTGCACTTCACACGGGCGAAATGCGCTTTGAATATAAATTACCCTATTTTGTTTGTAGGTCAGGGTGCTGCATTTTTTGCTAATGCCAACCGGTGATAAGGATTTATTAGTTTTTATTGCATACAGGGTGTTTGAGTTGGCAAAAACTAAAGTTCTGTGGCGGTGTGGCCAGAGTTCAAGAATAAGAAATTTATTTAAAACTAGCTTTCCGCCCGCGGCTTCGCCCACGTGGAATTTTGTCTGTCACAGAAAAACTTTATCGCGCGCGTCCCTGTTTCAAAAACCGGGATAAAAACTATCCTATGTTCTTTCCCGGGACTCAAACTATCTCTATGCCAAATTTCATCAAAATCGGTTGCGAGGTTTAAGCGGGAAAGCGAAACAGACAGACAGACAGACAGACAGACAGACAGACAGACAGAGTTACTTTCGCATTTATAATATTAGTTGGGATTGGGATATTCATTACATGTCAAATTGTCAATGTTCAATGCGTAATGTTTAAAGAAATTCGTTAATGATAAAATGAATAAGTAGTAGGTATTTTGTAAAGGTCAAGGTTTTAATAGGTTAGAAGGTTAAACATTCGTCATTATTGAATATTTGGAGAGGAAAATGTAAGGAAAAATTAAAATTTTATATGATTCAGGCGGAAATGACGGAATACCTACTATTTGTTGCGGAAAAGACTACTAGACTACAACCAAACTATATTAAAATTAAAAAGTAAAATGTTGTTATTTACGAGCTTTGCTATTGCATCATATTGTAACTTAAAAATAAAACTACTTAAATAATTATTATTGTTTCTACAACCAGTAGTACTAGTCTTTGCTTACAACTTTCTTTTGGTCTTCTATCTTAGGTTTTTTGTAGAGAATTAAATATTAACCTCGCTGCATTAATATTGATAATAATTTCGCAAATTTTACATTGTTTAAATAACTTTATGAGAAAAATTCGAAGTCGCAAAACAACTTTCATTGCATGTACCGCACTCTATTGTCAGCGGCTGAAAACGGTTCAACGGCACACGGTGTATTGTGCGCATATTAAGTAAGCGAGAACGTGGTTCGTGCTGTAACGCATAGATGGCGTTAAATGATACTTTTCTCATTTTGGTTAAATGAACAAAATCGATTGTTTTTCTTTGTTTTCAGGTAATATAAGAAACTGGATTCTACACTAAAAAGTATTTTTTTTTTGTAAGTACGAAGTATTCGGTTGTGCTTAGTTTACGTAATCGTTGTATTTTATTTACTCTTGGTCCTGGCTCGCCATACAAATATTATATTACTTCAGATTTTCAATATCCTATTATTATAAAGGATAACATTATCGGCTAAATATCTTATCACCGATCGATACAAAAATTTACTCAGCTTGGATTTGTCACGTAGACACTGAGGACTGAGGTCTACATCCGTGAATTTTTGATAAGTTGTTATTTACCTACCTACACGATTACGATTTTAACATTCCCTTCCCCTTCCCTTTGAACCAAATCTATCAATGAGACTGTAGTTCGTAATCGATTCATGTGCATTAAATAAATACAATAATGTAATAAAGATATAAAAGATTAGAACATCGTACATAATAAAGACTCCGAGCCTAGATTTTGTTGAAAAAATAGATGATAAGATCCACTTCACGAACAAATGTTTTTAAAAATTTACTTTTTTGGACTAACTTTTTTGCTCATATAAAACGCACGTGGATAGTGTCTCAAAAACATAAATTTTAGTCTTGTGTTCAGTACAAGGTCAAGGCCACTAATCCAGACAGAAATCCTAGCAGGTTAATCAGACCTAGTCAAAGATATACTCTAGGATGCTATACTAGTGATAATGAAAATGCTACCGACTTACTTCTCGTAAATATATTTTGAACTATAAAAATAAAATAAAAATCTTATAAAACGCTCTAAAAAATTAAAACATTGCTACAACTGCCTCTTTTTTTCTTTCTCAGCCTCTTCTTTCTCTCTCGTTATTTCTTGTATCACAGTGTTGATTTCTTCTTCGTTCAACATCTTTACGGGCTGGCGTCTTTTGATGACGGCTATCTAAAAAACAAATAAAAAATGCCGGTTGCAGACCAAGAGTTTAGCTTAAAATAACTTTTTTTTTTTTAAATAACTTAGGCCCAGTTTATTGATTCATAGTTAAAATAACAAATAGGTAGTTAAATTTTGCTACCAATGGTTAAATATTAACAAAATGATAACTAATAGTTAAAAAATTGGCTATCCATTGTTCGAAAAACATTTTTTTCTGATATTTAACCACTTGTCGTTTGACATCTGTCAAATTTGACTATTGATTAACTACGAAAAAAAAACCGGGCCTTAGCTTTTGATAAAAGCACCCGGCTTAAAAGTTTTTTTGATTAAGATTTTCAGGGATATATTTTATCTATGTATATTAGCTGTGTGTTTTATCCACTCCCACTATTCCCATGGATGTCATAAGAGGTGACTAATGGGCGAAATATGTGATCAAGTTTTCTCAAGCTGTCTGGTCAGCGTTGGGAGTGTATTATATGCCAAATCCTCTATTTGCCTCTGGTGAATTGGGCCAAATGCTCTATTTTGTCTCTGGTAAATAATTGGAGAAGGTCTTGCTTCTGCAGATCTTGGTCTTGCAAGTCTTGGTCTTGATACTGGAGACTGAAGATCAAAATCTTCATGATGATGATTTTTTATGAAGAACAGGTATTTGACCGCAGTAGCACCTGATGTTAAGTGAGTTAGTCTAAAGCCCGGTCTTTGAGCTCGTAGAATTTTGTGATTTGTGAAATTCTACGTGCTCGCAGACCAGACTATAGTCAGTCTTAACGCATGACCTGATGAGAATTCAAATTCAAATTTCTTTATTCATAACCAGGTGTTTTTACATTTCTATATTGCGATCGAGGAATTCTTTTAAGTAAATAAATACTTGTGGTAGAATATCCCCGCTCTCCATATTAATTTAACATTAATTGACAATATAAATAATAATTATGACTTTAGATATACATACATTACTTTTCAGCCTATTTTTATTAAATTAAATAAAATAACATAAAAATTAATTAATTAAATCAATTTAAATTATAAAAAAGAAAAAGTAATTTGTTTCAGGTCTTGTTACACAATATAAAATGTTCAAAATTCCAGGGTGCAAGAGTGAGTTTGTGAGAGCAAAACAGTGGGGGGGGTGTGTGTGTGTGTGCATGTGTGTGCGAGGGTGGGTGATTTAGTTAATTTACTTCTTCTATAGTACGACCGCTTAAATGAGACCTCGCATGCGGAACGTTCAACGTCAACCTCTTCACCGTGACGTCATATATCTTGAGAATGATGATGAAATTTTATTTACAACAATTCCAATTTACTTACATCAAGATTCCTCGCTCCTCGCGACTGGACTTGCAGCAGGGCCTTTATCGCCAGCTTCACAGTTCCTTGGTCGGTCGTCACCAGCTCCGGCTTGTAGTTCTGTTCTAAGAACTCCCTTACTGTCTTGTCGCATCGGCCTATGGACCCTGCCTGTGGTCAAAATGGCAACCGAAAGTGCAGTAGTCTATGGGCTTTTACTAAATACTTTTTATGGTCAGCAGTACGATACTCATAGTACCAGCTATGCTTTTAGTTCCTTTAGTTTGGGGCTTGATGGCGCAGTGTAAAATACCAAAAAATGCTCATTATTTTATTTATGTGTAAACAATATTACATAAAAGAAAGCTTTAAATTTGAATAATATGTATAGCTACAATTGTTACTGCAAAAAAACTAAGGGTAAAGCAGCTGCCAGTTAATGACGCTCCAATAGTTCTGATTATTTTTTGAGAAAGTAAAAATCTTATTAGGGCCGCGTAATCTCTAATAATGCAACGGCTACGCGGCTGTATGCTGTATGGTGGTTATCACATTTTTGAACTTTACAGCCAGGTTCAAAAGTTACATAAAATGACCCTGCGGTCTTTAAGAAGCTTCAATCATACCTTCCACTCATAGTAGATCCCCGAAGGCTCAGTCTGGTACAGATGCGGGTTGCCATCGAAGTCAAACCCCCCCACCAGGCAGGAGATCCCAAAAGGTCTTCGCCCGTTGCTCTGTGTGTACCTCTGCTTCATCTCAGCTATGTATCTCGCTATGTACTCTGTGGTGACCGGGTCCTCCACTGTTAGACGATGGGACTGGCATTCTATTTGGGCCCTTAAAGTAAAATAAAAAACACGTGAATGCTAAGAGGAAACCTGTAAAGAAGTCCTGTCCTGTTTACCAAGTTAGAAACCTATTAATTCGTGATGAGTAAACGGGACTATTCCCACCTCTCTTTCCCACCACTGCAACTCCTGTGTAGCCAGGATCTACAGCTTGACCGCCAATAACCCAACCAGTGAAGGTCAAGTTTGTCCCGGGGGAAAGTTAAACTGTCATTGGACCAGCAACGAAATAATTCATGATGAGTAGGATACTCAAAGCTTAATTAATAAGTTTCTAATAACCCCCGGTTTCTGAACAGAGATTTTTAGCTTCAGCGTGCTCATTTTATTATACTAAAGTATGAAGTTAAAGGCTAAGTAGAAAATGGCTAAAAATATCAATTTGGAAACCGGGAGTAAGACGGTCTTAAAAAACTTGTAACAAATTGTTTTTCTACCTACTTCATAAGGTAGGTACAACCTTGTCTTAAAGTTAATGCATGAGATGAATCAAGGTTATCTACATCGCAAAAATAAACTCCAAAATGCGTAAGTTCAAAATTGTTTTCCATTCATATAAAATGTAATCTTTATGTAACCGACAATGACATTATTATCACTGTTGTATTAAATGTATCATACTTTTTACGAGTCTGAGTCATGAAAATAACTTTAAAAGGAGCCTTTGATTGTTATAAGAATGACTTTATTAAGAACAAGTAGGTCAGATCTGATCTTTAAAAATGTATCTTTCGTAATTCAAGGATGATATTTTTTTTAAATATGATCATTGAAATAAGTAAATGTTGTTTTCGATAATATCGTACGATATTGGAATGTTATATGCCAGTCTATTTATTAGGTTTTACTCTTTAATGCTTTGCCAGGCGTTTCAAAAGTCAAATCAGCAGTTAGAAAAAGTCGCGCCTTACTACTTCACCTGAAATCTTAAAAAGACTGTTTAACTCAATGAGATCAAGTTCTGACACCGCCTAAATTATTCTCAAATATTTACTCTACTTGGCTTATACACGGGACTATTCTCTCGTTCCCACCGTTACAACTCGTTTGTAGCCAGGATCCACAGCTTGACCGCCAATAAAAACCCAAATAGTGAAGGTCAAGTTTGTCCCAGGGGAAATTAATCAGAAGAACACAGTATTATTATTATTATTCTGTCTAATGGCTTCAATGGTGCGAATTTACAGCACACTGGTTTTGCCAATGTCGAGTGTTTAGAGAGACACGGTGGACAGTGGAATTTGAAAGTTGCCCGGTGATAATTTAATTAATTCTTCAATGAGCTTTTTACCACGAAGTTAAGGTTCGATTTCCCTCCATTGCAAAGCGGATGACAGGTGACAAACAAAGGTTTAGTAACCTATTTGGCTTAAAGTAAAATTTATTTTTCACCTGGAAATCAGGACTCGAGCGTCAGCCCTCAGTCCAGCAAAAGCCAGAGTGACGTGCTCATCCAGCGGAACTATCTTCTTCTCCGTTCTTTCGTCCTGCAGCTGTGCCACTGTTCTCTTCTCTACTCCCAGCACTATGACCTCTGGTCCTCTCACCCCCACGGCTGCGGACCCTCGCCTGACTGCCTCTTGGGCGTATTGGACCTGGAGGAGTTGGCCATCAGGGGAGAAGACCGTGATGGCTCTGTCGTAATTTGCCATAAGGATTTTTTGGGCTTAGAAAGATGTATTTAGATATTTCAATAGCAGCACGAAACACTCTTACAGAATCCTTTGGGTATAATAAATAAATACACAACGTGCTTAGCAAATAAAATTCAAAAAATAATAAAGCAAAAATGAAAGAACTGTGTAAAAATAAATCAGAATGATTTTCTGTCATATTGACGTCATCAATCATCAACAGATTTTGTACATTATCTGTTTCGCATAGTATTCTTTTTGGTTGTAATATTTTTAGTGTTTTCCTCTTTCTAGTATTTTCGAAATTTGATCATACCTAAGCTTTTAGTACCTTCAGGCAGCTTCCATGTAACCTAAAAATCTTAATTCACTCTTATTTTCATAAGCTAGGCGGTTATCACACTGCGCCGCGCTCCGACGCGGAGCGCGGGGCGACAGATTTAATAATTGTATGCAAGTATATACCTCAGTTTGTATGGAAAACACGCGCGGCACTTCACACTGACAACGCGTCCGCGCGCGTGTTTTTTTATGAAATCACGCGCTCCGCGGCGGAGCGCGGCGCAGTGTGATAAACGCCTAACAGTAGTAAAATCGGCGGCAGAGGAGTTCTACCGTAAATAAGTATGCTATCATGATTCCGATATGCATATTTGCGCAGTATCTTGTCAGCCAATATTGTGAGCAAGTATTTGTTTTGGACCACACCGCCCACGCCCAGACGAGAGCACATCAAGCTTGACATTGGCATCTTATGTCGTTGTAATAAGTCCTATTTTGCAACAAAAATGTAAAGGTTGATGTGCTTATAGACCATTTTTATTGCTGCACGCGGGTCACGTTTTCCATTAGTTTGTATTTAATATAAATAAGTTAAAACTTTGCTTTCGCCGGCTAGGTAATTGATAAACATGGCGTGTGGATGAATTAACAATAAAAATTAAGTAGAAATAAGTTACGATAATTCGTTAACACTGTGGTGTGGCTCAGATCCTATTTTAATCAAGAGGAAAGATTTGATCTACTCCGAAACTACTGGTCCAATTTGAAAAAAAGTTACCATTAGAATCCTACATTATTTCTTATGAACATAGGCGGTATGGATTTCGCCGGGGCAGCTCGTTTGCTATAGATAAAAAAATATACAGTTCTTTTGAAGTTTCAGTTTCTTCTTACCGGCTTACATTCTGTAGGAAATAGCCTAAAATTCCCAACGAAATTAGAAATGCTTTACACCCGAACTAAAGCGGCCATGTCCTGGTCTGCTATCCACAAATTATCACCCTACAACCAGTATTTCACTTAGACGACCATACTCCTTTATTTGTGCGCGTACGCAAACGTATGGCGACACTAATATCCTTCTAAATTAATTTTATGCACAGCATCCTGGTTGAAATATGCATGATACGAGTAAAAGATGTAAACACATGTTTAATAGAATACTGTTTTATTGCATTGCGTTTGATTTTAATCCGAGTGGATTTGCAGCGGTTTGTATATCAAAAGGATTTGAGCAAGGCGTTTGATACTGTGTCTCATCACACATTTGTAGTTAATGTGGAAATTATTGCGCAGTTATCTTCAAAGCTGTATGTTAATAAGTATGATTTACAATTACAGTTTCTTATTGAGATATTATGTTGTATTAAGTGTTTTATGACTTGTGGAGTTGGAAAGGGGAGTATTGTGGGACCTTCGCTTTAAGGTTTTTGTTTAAACGTAACTCCATACACAAAAATACAATACGAACTTACCGTTTCCCAGTAAAATTTGGGGACAAGCAGATGAAAGTAAAATAGTTCGAGTCAAGTTCTTGTATGTAGGACCTGGACTTTTTGAGTGTATTTTAATTACCTCTTGAATCTTTTCTAGCTAGCTATAATAAAAGAAGCAGTTAAATAAATTAAGTGACTCGAAACAAAATCAGCTTTTACTACACAATTTGTTATGTAGGCAGAACTACACAGATCCAAATGCTTCGATAATAGAAATGCTTCCTTTGATCCGACTAATTAGTACCAACAATGAAGCTTTATTGAACGAAGGCTATCAATTACTAGCTGAACGTTAGACTTATAATATAACTGATAGATAAGATTAATACATCGAGACATTGTTCGTATTTCTGCATAAGCTTATCTGTCGGTTAAAAGGTTACATTGTCCGTACTAGGTGGTCTTGATATGGCTCCATTCAGGTTTCAATAAGTCGTACCGAATTTGATATTTTTATCAGTATGATTAATATTTGCAGAAAGTTTTGATATCTTGTACGTGTTTTTCTATTGTTGTTCTAAGCCACAATGGAATTATACTTGAGCTTAAGATTTATTTTTAAGGTCAACTGATTTATTATTATAGAAAGTGTATAAAGAGCTTGATAAATAAAAGACCCGTCGTGCGTTCTATACTGCGTTTATTATTCGACTGGCGAGAGCACTGGACAAACAGAAAAGTGGATACCCACTTTAAACAATATATTGTGTCACATTACTTTTATGTGAATACCTTACAAAACTTAATATTCATAACATCTCCACCCTTATTTAAAGATACATACACAAAAATATTATCTAAGTATAGGTATTATATTATACTAGCTAGGTAGGTAGGACGTATTTTCGATACATTATAAACAAATGTATTTATTCACTTATATCTAAGTTACTTACTACAAATAACAAATCAATTTTACACAAATTAGACAAATACTAAATTATTATTTTTTTACTGATCGTGTGGTTAACCTACACCGCAAAGATAAGAATGATACTAACTAATCAATTTCAAAACCATATCGAACTGGTGGTCTACGTATCCTACATTCCCGGTGTGGCGGTCCCGGGCTCGCCGGCGCCGCCTCCCGCGGGCCCGCGCGCGCCCCCGCGCCCCCCGCGTCCGCGGCGGCACCGCCATCGCNTTATTGGTTTTATTTTCTCTGGATCTACCCTTATTCCCACTTTATCTATCACAAACCCTAAATATTTCACCTCATTTGAAAAAAAAGAACATTTTTGCTTTTTAATTTTTAAACCATATTTTTGCAAAATTTCTAAAACAATATTTACCGTTTTTATATTTTGCTCAAGGGTAGGTGTACTGATTAAAATATCGTCTAAAAAATAGCTAACATTAGGCACGTTTTTTAACAATTCATTCATCAATCTTTGAAAAATTCCCGGACTGGAAGCTAGACCATAGACTAATCTGTTATATTTAAAAAGTCCTCGATGTGTATTTATCACAGTTAACTGAGTTGACTCATCATCTAAAAGCACCTGGTTGTAAGCTTGCGATAAATCTAATTTCGAAAAATATTGACTACCGCTAATTTTAGAAAATACATCCTCTATCTTTGGAACAGGAAATTTGTCAACGAGCAGGGCTTGATTCAATGTGACCTTATAATCGGCGCATAGGCGAAGCGATCCATCAGGCTTATGCACAATCACCAGTGGCGTGGCCCAGTCGGAGTGGTCGACGGGCTCGATGATGCCGGCGCGCAGCATGGCGTCCAGCTCGGCGTCCACGCGCTCGCGCAGCGCGTACGGCAGCGGGCGCGCGCGGCAGAACACGGGCCGCGCGCCCGCGCCCACGCGGAGCCGGGCCCGCCCACCGGAGAACTTCCCTAGCTCTTCATTAAATAGCTCCTTGTACCTACAAAACATATCCTTTATTATTTTATCACTATCTACATTTTCCATGTTATTAAAAGTTGTTTCGGTGGAAATTGATATTTTTGGTATAGGTATGTTTAACTCTGCTAACCACTGGCGACCTAATAAATTTGTTGCGCCGTTCTGAATTACATAAAGATCTAATAATTTTGTTACTTTGCCGTAGGTAACATTCACTTCAAAAACCCCTAGGGGTTTCGCTTTTAAACCATTGTAAAATTTTAAAGTTAAATTACATTCTTTTAACGTGAAATTAGTGAAATTTTGTCTATATTCTTTATCGCTAATACATGATAATGCCGAACCTGTGTCTACTTCCATATTAATTAATTTATTTTGTACACAAATTTTAATGTTTACCGGCTTGTAGTTCCCAAGTGACATTAAGTACATGGGCTCCTCCTCCTCCTGTTGCTCGCCGTGCTGGCCCTCCCGGCCCTCGTCGTCCTCCTGCACGTAGTGCGCGCGCGCACCGCCACCGCCGCCCGGCGCCGCCCGCCACCCGGCGCCGCGCCGCCCGCGCCCGCTGGCGCTCGCCGCTCCGCCACCGCGCATGCCACCACGCACCGGCCCCCCTCGAACCTTGTTTCCGTCCTGAGGTTTCTTTCCAAGTGGACATACCCTTCTCAGATGGCCTATTTTTCTGCACCGACTGCACTCAAAAGTACGATAGCGGCATTCGTTCCAGTAATGTCCTCCGACGCCACAGGCGAAGCACCCCGTCACTTTCATACGGTCCATCTCACTAAAAAGCCGATGTACGTCCTCTGTTTCATTCGAGCCGGCGATGCTGGAACGCCGTCCCCGCGCTGCTGACGTCGCTGTATAGCGGTCTCCCGCGCTGTTGTAGGTAGTTACCTCCGCCGTATCCACTACCGATGCATCCCGGGCCGCTGACTCGATAATATTGGCTAATTTATTTGCATTTGCCCAATCCAAATTTTCTTCTGCGAAAAGTCTCTGTCGTATAGTATCATTACGTAGCCCACACACGAACTGGTCCCTTAGGTTTTCGTCTAGTCTGTCCTTGAAGTCGCACGACCGTGACAATCGTTTCAACTCAGCCACGTATTGAGTGATTGTCTCACCGTTATGTTGAAATCGCTGCCTAAACACATATCTCGCAGCCAGTATAGATGTCTTTGGCTGCAAATGTTCCGACATAAGCTTCACTACGTCATCATATTTCATTTCGAACGGTTTTCTCGGACTACACAAATTCACCATCAATTCGTATGCCGATTCACCAATAATAGATATTAATGTCGGCAATCTATTTCCCGCCGCGATGCCATTCGCCACAAAATGCATTTCTAATCGTTCACAATATGAAGTCCAG